TATCAAAAAGATTGATTCACATTGTCTTTTTCAAGTTCCATCACTCATAAAATGCTGGAAATTTATTATCCACAATAACTAATATCAGTTGACAATCACAAAATAAATAATTTTGATGCATTTATTAATCAATTATCAAAGAGAAAAAATGTAATAAGTCACATGTTTCTCAAGGGTAGTTCACAAGTCTCTTAAGACTTTTTACATGCACGTACAAATCTTTGCTTCAAACTTCCTTTTTGTGGTAAGTTTTGACGTCCATAACACAACAAAGGAGGCCTAAAATATGGTTTCCATGGTTGACATATGCAAGGCTGCTTCACCAATATTTACAACTACTTCTAAACTTTTTATTAAGTCAACTTTTTGAGAGGGAAAAAAAATTGGACTTAATTGCAATATCAATGCAAGGGGTTATACACTTTTATAGTATTAAAGCAAAAAGGGGATCGCTTAGAATTAAATTATTGAAATTGAGAAAAAGTGGAGCAAGAAAGGCTCTAATTTTGTCACCATTAATAATGTATTTAATCATTAATAGTTTTAAGGCAAAAGCTAACAATACCCCGGGGCGTTGGATAAGCTAGCTAAAAGTCTAAAGATTAAATTAAAATTAACATTAATTACATCGGTCGATGCGTGATTTTATCATACTTTTCCAAATTAATACCACTTTAAATGATATTATAAATGTTTATCCAACGCCTAGGGGGCGTTCATTAGCAATATCCTAGTTTTAATTACATACTCCATATTATCGTATTATATTAAACTTATAAAAAATAATAAATCTTTATTTAAAATATACATTGAAACTAATCCTATAAACTTTAATACTAAAACCTATAATATTTTACATACATAAACACACATATATGTATGAATGATTAAAAAATTCAAGACATTTTGATTATTAAGAATAAAAGGATTATATATTGAAATAACTTTATAGATATACTGGTCTTGCTCCTTTGAGTTTCTGAGCATTATAGAGTAGATTTATAGATGTCAGCAGAGCAAATCAGATTATTAATACTCAGCATAGCATAGTAGGTCTCAGCAGAGCATAGCAGACCACATAGAGTGAGGTGTAGCTCAAGAAGTTAGAGCTCTCTTTTCAGTTTCAGGAGATATTGAAATCAATTCCCTTTATCCCGCCCTTGTGACTTTCTAAACACTGCACCTGAAAAGCTAAAACAGTTTTCACATTTGTTTCCGCTCCATCGAGTCCATTCAATTGTAACAAATACACGAGTAAATTGAGTTCGGGGATATGAGCAAAAGTTATAACATATCCGATCCTATAGTTTGAAAATAATGCACTACATATTACTATATTAGTATTTCTTATGCTATCATTATTGTCGATGCAATAGCTTAAAAAAAAACATAAAATCACTAATGTTAATATGTTATATGTCATCAATTCGAGGAAGTAAACAATAATGAAGAATTAAATATTGCCCTAGCCCCATGCTACCCTATAAAATACAAAAATTGAACCAACCAAGGAAAAGAAATAGATCCAGTATTTAAGAAAGAAAAAAAAAAAAAAAAAAGGGTACAGAAAAGCTCCTTAGAAAATTAGTAGTATAGTTTTGTGCTATGAAATTAATTGCTTCACATGCTCTAAGTTTGTTTCTGAAGTTTGAAATTGCAGGAAACTACATTCTAATTGGTCGGATTTTATTGATAATACAAAGCAGCTGTGACATCAACTACACTACATACATATATTTCTGAGTATTGTAAAAATTAATATATAAAAAACATAATAATGCTTATATATATATATAAAAAAAAAAAGTCGCCAACTCTTGCCTCGTTGTTTTTCATTGATATCATGGATGACATATTATGTTTTTAGGACCACATTAGATTTTAAACATTACACTCTTTGTTTCAAATAAGGGATATAATTATTATCATGTAAAATGTAATTAAGTTAATTTTAGTACTTCGAATATATTTTTGTATTACTTTTATTGATTTATTTATATAGATGTTAATGATGTGCATTGACAAGTTTGCTCAGTTCTTGTTCACATTTACTGAATTGAGCTGAACTGAACTGATTGGAGTTGAATTGAACTGATTAGAGCGGAAATGAATTTTTTATGAGAGAAGGAAATTAGGAACTGAACTGAACTGATTGAAGCTAATTTAAACTGCACTGAAATGAAATTAAGGTGAAGTGAACAAACTCTTAATCCGTGTCATTTATTCTCTTATGTATATTGCTTATGCTTATTAATGACATACTTCTTACTAATTGTTTATGGGACTATAATGATAAATAGTCTTATGAGTGATATGTATGACATGCACAATGCAAAACTCTATCCATCTGAAGCATTAATAATAAGAAGGGCTAGGGGATAAATGTCTTTTAAAGCTATGGTTCAGGTCAATAAATTAAGAAGGTTTAACATCGTTTTTTAAGCAGGTTTAATAAAATAATATTGTATCTATGAAAGAATTAAAATTGACATTAAAATTTGGATAATATAAAAGGTTAAAATCTTATAATTTAAGTATGAAGAGATGAAGATTAATGAATAATGATAGATATATATTGATATACTTTTGAAAAGTATATATAATATTTGAAACATATGGCCTGGGCTTGTCGATCTATCAATTAGCAAAGAATGAAATAGATAAAACTCTCGGACAACTAAGTAAACTAACAATAAATTATTAAGTGATTTTATGTAAAATTAATGACAAAAATGAACAATATATTGCAGAGTCAAGTTATAAGGAATGGTAAACTGGTTAGGGTATTATAGGCACATATTCAAAAACACGTACTCCGTAATAAATAGATTAATCCCCTAGGAGGCTAGGAGACAAACAAGTAAGGTAGTTCAATTCATAACAAATTGAAACTAAGCATGATATAATATGTGAGTATGTGACCAATGGTTTATTTTATTCGATCTTGATTCTATTTATATTAACAATTTGAGATGGAGATTATATTCTTGAGAAACAATCCACTTTTAGTCATAATAGCAGTCCTTTGGTTAGTTTGATTGGCGTTTAGTATTTTTCATTTTTCAAAGCAGTTATATTGAATTTAGGTTAAATATTACAATATATATCTATGTGGTCCACCAGACACTAACATAAACCGATTACATAATCACATAAAACCTAAAAATACAATCAACAAATACTTTTTAGACTATATGTTTTCATTCAAAAGTATACAAACATTTATACAGTACTACTGTAATTAGTACTCGTAAGTCATCAGAAACTACTTACAACTTTACATGGTGTCGCTTATTTCATATCTCTAGGGTGTTCTTAATCACGTGAATTTATGTTCACAATTAATCAATTTGTATTTTGTCCTTTATTGCTTAATTGTTTTCGGAAAGTTGAATTAAAATTTGATTGGTCACATTTTTGGAGACCAAAAAATATTGTAATAACATAAATGTACAAACTCTAAATTATTGTAATTATCGAGCATCAAATTTTGCAATTAACCAGCAAAATCTGCAATTATTCTCCAAGTTTGTGAATGAGTGTATGACCAATCCAAGTATCTAACCACCAATATTCGGACCAATGCGAACAAATTGCGTTTACCGATAAATATGATTGTGTTTTTGCTTCATTACGAAGATCTGTCAGTACAAAATTTGTTCATTTTTTTAATAAAAGAATACTAGTGTACAAAAACAATAATAATTGAACAAGAATATAGAAATGTATTTGAATATGTCATACTTCCATTTAGCATGATTATGAAACATCACTAATTTCTAACTCTCAAAATAACAATATTATCAAAGATGCCCAAATGTCCGATCTAAATTTTGCTAGTAGAACTAAGAATAATATGATTGTATATGTATCTAAGTTTAGATACATTAGAGTGAATACTTGTATAAGACACGTATATCAGTAAATATTATGTGTAGGTTTACTATAAACATTAAACAAAACAGATGTATCTGTAGTGGGTAAAGTTCACAACGAACTTCACATGTCACTCGTATCTATTCATTAGTAAATTTACCAATCTATTCATTAGTAAATTTACCAAAAAAATTAAAGGCAAATAACACTTTTTGTTTACTATGCTCTATCATAAATCTAGGAGAAAACAAGAATTTAAACCAAGAATTATACCTAATAAGTCATGGTAGTTACCAACTCACCAAGTGAGCAATAGACATAAAAAATTACTGGAGTATAAAATTAGAAATTGACACTGTACTATTTTTCCATCGATATAAAAAATGAAAAAAAATAAATAGTGACTCGTATTAAAGTATTTTATATTAATAAGTATTTATTTTAGAGATATAAGAGGAGTAATCTGTCTAATAATATTACCTATATGTATTCTTTTTTCGTTTACATACATACTTTGAATTTCACAATGTAATTATACGTACTCACATAACATAATTATTACGGAGTAATTTTATTATAAAAACGTTAAAAATATGAAATCAACCGCTAAAAATTCAAAATGACGGTTTCTCTTATTATGTAAAAATCACCAAACATCCAAACATTAATAAAATTATATATATATATAAAAAATGAATAGTATAAAGACTATAAACATACATATACAAAATGTGTAACTTAAAAGAAAGCTTGCATTTAAGAAAATTACTAAGGCCGTTGTTGAAATAACAAACAACGAAGGTAGTATCCAAGTAATCTAACCATTAAAAAATCATAGAATATGTCAATGCAAAAGTACAAGAAATAACTCCAACTAATAACAACTAGTAAGTACTTTTCTTTTCAACAACAATTAAAAAAAAAAAAAGAATAAAAAAAAAACTAATCGATCATTGACCAAGATAATCTCCAAATCCATGCTAAATTAATACATGAATAAAAAATAATTATAATAATAATAATTAATTATGAAGAGGGTAGCCTCAATTTTTGAGAAACTATCCATTCATTCCAATAAAATTTAATTTTTTTTTTTCTTGAATAATAAAAAAAAAAATCCCAAATAATTAATTATTCATCATTATTATTACCTTGCAAATCAGACATAGCAATAACCCCAAGTTTTTGAAGATTAAGCTTAACAACAGTATCAACAAACATCTTGGTATCTTCAGCAGTATTACCTTCTGGAATATCAACAATATACGATTCCAAAACAATTGTATAAACTTTTTTGTTATTATCATCCTCGAAAAACTCATTCACGGAGGTAACAGATTTGTAGTTACGAAGGCGGTGTTGTCCACCCACCACACGAAAGCTAAGCACGCGGTGTTGATCATCAAGAAGCTCGAGGCGTTCGGTGCTGGTAGAAGCAGGAAGACCGGATACTACGCTAACTTCACGTACACTACCAACGGAGGAGCCGTCTCCTGAGGTTAAACGGCAGCTTTTGATGAAGTGTTTGTATCGTTCGGGGTTGTCGAAACGACGGACATAAGGCCAGATAATGTCGGCGGGGGCGTCGATGCGTTGAGTGATGAGGGAGGTGGTGGTGTTGGGGGTGTAGGGTGGAAGGTGTGGTAGGTTTGGATGAGGGGTTGAAGGGTGGTGTATTCTTCTTGGGTTAGCCCTTGGGGTGGTGAGGGTGGTGCTTGGGTGCTCATGAGAAATAGTGGTTGAGAGCACACGTGGGGTTGGAGGAGGGAGGAAAATAAAGGGAGAAAAAAATGTTGGAGTTTGAAAAAAAATGGAAGTGAGAAGGAGAAATAATGGAAGGAGAAGAAGTTGTGAGTTTTTAAAAAGGGTTTTTATGTTGTTTGGAATGAATGGTTCTTAAGATGTTTGACTTATATAAGTCTACATCTTGGTTGCTACTTGTAAATTAAAGTTGTTATCTTATAACAAAGACAAAGAGTTTATATCGAGGTATTTTATTGTATATCAGAAGTACGGTGTGTAAATTGGTTGATTCAATTTAGTATATGGAGTGTGATTATAGTTAATTAAAAGACTAACTTATTCTTATGTTGGCTGGTAATTGACTGTAATTATACATAATGAGTCAATGTATATAATGTACATTATTGACAGTAATTATGATTTACATTCTAAGAATGACGTACATTATTGGTTGTATGTAATCATGATTTACACTCTAAGAATGATGTACATTATGTATAATAATGTACATCATTATTGGTTGGTTTTAATAAAATGAAAGTAAAAAAAGACATTAAATAATGCATGGTTCGTGCAGGCGGATGCACAATTCACATGGTGCATCTCTTCTAAAAAAAAGCGGAAAGAACATTGCATAGAAATATAAAGAACATTTAGTTTAAGTAAAAAGAACATATTATAGAATTGTAAAAAACATCATATAGAAATGTAGAAGACATTCAGTTAAAGTGCAAAGAACATGTTATAAAATTGTAAAGAACATAACGTCTAGTTAAATAATGTTCTTTATCTTCATGTTCTTTGATTGTCAGAATGTACTTTTATTTGTGACATATGTTAATTGTTTATTTTGAATGTTCTTTGAATTTTGTCTTTAGATTATGGTGATTGAATAAAAATAATGTTCATTACATTATATTATCATTAGAGGTGATAAAAAATTCGGGTCAGAGTGGGCCTTAACATAATATCTCGTGTCCAAAAAACCCGAAAAATGTAGTGGGCTTTTCGGGTTTTTATCGGGCCGAGTTTGGATTTTTAACTAAAAATGCATTTTTAGGCTTGTCTAACGCGCCTTATTTTCGGGCCGGACCGAAGTTGATCACCTCTAATTATCATGTTTTTAATTAATATTACGGATGTTCTTTAGATGTATATAAAGAACATGAAGTTGGATGTTTTTTTTACAAAATAGTCATATGTTCTTTATAAAACAACTATATGTTCATTACAATACATCTATATGTGATGTTCTTTATGAAATAGCTATATGTTTTTTACAAAACAAATGTATGTTCTTTACTGAACAACGGAATGTTCATTCCGCCTTTTTTAAGAGAAAACGGATGCACGGAGCATCGTGCATCCGCCTGCATAGAGAAAATTTCAGTCATTTAAAATCTCACAATTAATGTTGTTGATTCGTTAAGTAATTATTTATGTGTAACCGTTGTATTAGTTAATGGTATTTTTATTAAGGCAATTGTTGATCGAATATGTGATGTAATAATCCAAAGTGCAACTAATTATACTTATTAAACTCAATTACATTAAATTATCTAAAATTATGTGTCGCGCGCAAATTAAAACGGAGAAAGTAATTAATAACTTCGCAATCCATATATACTATATAAAACAGCACTCATAACGTGATGTGCAAATTTAATTTCAAAAATGAAAAATATTAAAGCAAAGCTGCATATAAAAGGAATAAAACTTTAAAAGAATGAATTATGAAAAACTAGTGTGCTTACATTGATTTAGGGGTGTTCACGTGCGATTTGGATCCCAAACCACAAAATTGCGGTTGTATTTTTTTTCAAATTGCACTTATACCCAAAGCACACCAAACTGCATTTTGGCGCGGTGCACTTTGGGGTTTAGCCATATATATATTTTTTTTAAAATAAAAGACTTTTATTTATTTTGTGATTATTAATTTATAGTCTAAATATTAAACTCTTTTTTTTTTAACTTTTAATTATCTAATAGTAAAAAATTACATCATTTTTAAAACTATTTTATATATTTTTAATAGTTATGGTATATATAAATTTGGTATAATAGTTTGTGGTTTGACGGTCTAAAAAGTTTTGAAAACTATACCAAATCGCAAAAGTATAGTATGGTCATTTTCGAAAACCGCACCACAATTTTCAAACCACAAACAACACCAAACCACCATTATTGTGGTTTGGTGCGGTCTAGACCACAATCTGAACAGCCCTATATCGATCAACTCATATTTTTGTCATAAACTCCCAAACATTACCTAAAGGCTGATAGGTCATTACCCTTTAACTTTTTTTTCTTCATAATATTAAATTTGATCTTTTAACATAATAAGAAATTAAGAATACATATACTTAATGGTCAACAATCTCAACATGAATCGAGTTTTATTACAAAAGACAAATACAATACTTCCTTCAAAAAAAAACAAAAGACAAATACAATACTTGAACACTAAATATATATAGAAGTAATTCTAATTAGGGTTCATTTTGGAGTTAATTATATGCCTAAAAGTAGGAGCCTAGGTGTTTAGACCATATTAATATTCTAATATGGCTAAATTAGGAATACATGGCTTGATTAGTGAGCTTATAGTGGACCACATCGTTACCAATGAGGAAAGTGTCAATCCAGCTTGATAATGATGAATTATCATTCATAATTAAATATAAGTATCTTCTTCATTCTTAATCTAAGCCACAAGAAAAGGCTTTTATTAATGTTTGCTTGTTCTATGGGCCTTAATTTTATTTTTAAAACCATGTATCATAATCAAAAGTACGTGATGCTTTGCTAAAATGCTAATTACTGGCTGTTTTAATTAGGTCAAAGTAAAAGTAACTAGCTTAGCTCTTTACATGATTCAAAAGATGAAAGAATATACTAACTTAAGATCCTACTAGAAATAGTACCCTGGATTGAATTGTTTAAATAAACTAGTTTTGTTCACAGTTTTTGATGATATTCGTATAGACGTCATACACATACTCGATCTGTTTTACTTTAACATCCTCGATATATAAAAGTTGTCATCTTTTTAATAATAATAATAATAATAATAATAATAATAATAATAATAATAATAATAATGCCTTTTGTTGTTGTTGTTATTTTGTTTTTGTTTTTTTTAAACAACTCTAGATTAATTAATTCAATATTGATGAAATGATATAGTTAATATGTGATAACTAGGTTAATTAATTCAATATCAATGAAATGATGTATGTGAATATGTGATAACAATACCTTTTTTTTTTGTTTTTGTTTTGTTCTTTTTACAAAAACAATACCTTTTTAAATGGTCGTATGTAGCATCTATCATAACATCGAATAATTTCTCTCAAGCAATATAATTAATATGGGTAGTACATGTTTTATCCAATCTACATACTCCGTATATAATTCCTAATTAATTGTTGGAGGATGATATTATATTGATGGAGACATCCTCGATTTGATTTACTTTTTGTGGGATGAGCAAGGATTCACCCTATGACGACAACAAGCAAAATATATACATCATCTAATAAGTAATTGCTTAGAGTTTCTCGAATGGTTAGTTTATATGAAAAGTGAAGCTATAAACTTACCATTGGAGAGGCAAAACAATAATCAACTAGTATTTAGGTGACTCAACAAAACTACAAAAAAAAAAAATTAATGAAAAAAAAATAAAAAAAAAAAAAAATTAAAAAAAAGAAAGAAAGAAAGAAAAGTGAATTGAGTATTGCATACAAACTACAAGCTAAGGTGTTAGTTATAGTCTATTGTTGGAAGACTGTAGCTTTTTGAAAGCATTTGAAATCAAATGTGATAAGCCAAGCCCTAATATACAAGCTAAGGTGTTAGTTTGCCATTAAGGATGACCTAAGATTATTTGTAAAGTAGTTGGTTTCATTATAAGTCATGTTACATTATTTTGGAAGCTAATAAAACCGTTCATCAATGCAATTGGTTTTCTAACCTCCATGACTCTAATACTCGAGTATATATGGAGTATAATATATGCTATAAATTCGCATGCTAATTAAAATAAGAATCGAACATTGTAGTAGCATATGCTTTTACATTTGGTCATGTCTTAAGATTATATAAAATGAAAAAACACAAGCTTCTAGGCTCTTAGCTCACTAACCGTTGAATTGAAGCAATTAGTGAGATCAGATCATATGTTATGGCCCAATCGTATGGATAGCTTTGAGAATTGTTGACTATCTTAACGTAAAGCCATAAAGGTCCCTCTTTTTTTCATCTAAAAAAATAATCTAGTAAATCTTCCTCTCTAATGGTACGACAGCTACTTATATATGGGTTAACCCTTAGCGCATAACTGGTATTTATTAGCAAACATTTAGGATGAAAAAATGTACCACTGCATGTATAATAGGTGAATATTTGAAGGAAAAATATTCAGTTTATAGGATGGTAAAAAGTACCACTACATGCATAATAGTGCACAAAAAGTACTATTAAGACAATTCATACTTTGATGACACATTATACATATGCATAATAATACATTGTAATGTACCACTATAGAATCAACTTTTTTGGAAAATTTGCAAATTGCAGCCATTTAGAGTTCTTATTTTGCAAATTGCAGCCCGATTCAATTTTTTCATCGGTTTACATGTTAAAAAATCTTCGGTTAAGGTTTTAGGAGTCATTTTAGTCCTTGGGGACCTGAATTGAGCTCGGAATTAGCAAAAAAATAACAAAAGTGTCTCATATTTACATTTTTTCCACAAATCGATACATTTTTGTTATGCAAAATGAGATACTTACGTTATTTTTTTGCTAATTCCGAGCTCAATTCGGGTCCCTAAGGACTAAAATGACCATAAGACCTTAACCAAAGATTTTTCAACTTGTAAAACGATGAAAAAATTGAATCGGGCTGTAATTTACAATTTATACGAACTTTTGGGCTGCAATGTGCAAAAAAATATTTTAAATGGCTGCAATTTGCAAAATACGAATTTTAAATGGCTGCAATTTGCAAATTTTCCAACTTTTTTCCACAAACTTGTCAAATTTACATTTTTGCCCTCCTATATGCTTTGTAAATGCATAACAAGCTAGCAGCTATGCGCTGAGAATCTAAGATGCACTTACTTGTATTATTTTTGAAAGGAATCATTTAATTATTATGTAATTCAATAACAAAAACTTCTATGGTTTCAACAAGAAACGATATAAATGTTGATACCTTTTTATTACAGGGAAAAT